AAAAAAAAGCACAAAGCAGGCAAAGCAAAGCCGTCACTGTACCGAGACTCTCCTGCTGGTGCACCGAGGAGGATGTAGAGGCAGGAGGAATACGGGCCGCAGCTGCGGACGGGAAGGCCCAAATGCTGTTCAAGCCCAGGCCCACCAGGAGAACAGAAGACACAGAGAGCTGCCGGAAAAATTCTCCCGCCGGAGAACATGGTTTGCTGTTCGATGTCGCCGCGAGCTTAATTGAGAGGTCCGGCGGGCAATCCAGGGTAGTTCGGATCCCAAAACAACCCGGGTTCGGGTCGGGATTTGCAGGGGCAGGTAGAGAAGAACTAGAAAACACTTGCAATTTGATTGGAGAGACCTGCATCTTCTGTTTGGTGTTGTTTCAATTGTTTGAGCCAAACCCGTCCCAAAAGTATTTTTGTATCCCTACAAAAGTTCGGGAGGATTTGGATTATAATATAATGTCGAATGCTCACCAAATATGGAGAGCAAAGTCCAAAAACCAAAAATGGAGCCGAACCATACAATTCGGTGTAGTTTGATTCGATTACTTTTGTATAGAGTGGGACAATCCAGTTATTTAAAAGTGGGGGTTTTTTCTTTTTAGGTGTAGTTTTGCACGAATTAAATCCAAATATATATAGTATTTTTTTTAGTGTGAAAATTTTACAATTCTTTATGTTTTGCGGTGTTGTGCGGTTAAAAAATTCATAATTCAATCTTTTTATTTTCTTCGGGGTAAATTTTTGTCCCGTTTAATTTTAAAATGTTATAATTTTAATTTTTGTTTTTCTCAATACAACTGCACCTGCATTAAAGGAATGAGTGCATCAAAGTTCTGGAGGTTTCGGGCTTTCTTGGCGAGGAGGCCGAGTTGGTGCATCTTTGGGTTGAACATAGGCCCAGTCGAGTGTACGTTTGGCAATGAGGACTTGTATGATACTTTCAATGTCCGTTGGTTAGTTGCGACAATATTCTTTCCTTTTTTCCTTTTTCGGACTACAGTTGTGTTGTAGGATTGTACAAGGCCTTGTGTACATGTGGGCTCGACTCAGAGACCGTTATGCGTGAAGGCGATGCAAGGCTTTGGGATCAAGTGGGCTCTTTGCGCTAAGCCATGCACATTGGTGGGCTCGACTGACGGTTGTTGCTAGCTAAATGAGACAAGGTCGGATTCGGCGAGAGATCTATGATTGAGTCTCGACTGCGGGTGAAGAATTTCGAATGAATGTGCGAGTATGAGCGCCTCTTCCAAACTGTTTGAGGAGAACAGTTGGGATTTCGAATGGCCGAGTGGGCTGGCATGTGGCTAGACAATTATGTAGTCTAGCGTGGCACTAGAAGGTTATCGGCCCTTCAAGAAGGTTCGGCTAAGTTGCGATCAAGGTAGACCATGTGGGTATATTCTCTTTTTCCCTCCTTTTCTTTTTAAATAATACATTAGTTAAATTGTATTTTATTTTCATCTCCTCTATGTTTTATTGATTGATAAAAATAAAATCATTTTGCTGTCATCAGTTTTGCTATGAAGCCATCGGATGGCTCGACTTATGAAGTCATCTACATTTATTCACTAATAGTGTATAGACACATGTCCTACAATAAATACAATTTGTGCAGGTGTCAACACATTAAGTGGTGGATGGCTCTATAAAAAAATCATCCGATAAGTCCACAAAATTTTTAGTGCAGTCATACCTCACTTTTACAATTTTATATTATATTAGATCATATTTTATTTTTACTAATCATTCCTAATTACTAAAAGACAATCAAAATCACGTAAATGTGAGTCACAACAAAAAGATCATATATTATCAAACAAACAGATCAACAATAATACCATTAAACTTCTTAAACAAAACCCACAAATGCCATAAACTTAGAACTCAACACACAAGCTAACATTAAACACCTTCAAACAAACCTTCACCCTTCCTTTCCACAATCAGTCCTCAGAAAATCCACCTTCCCCCCATCAATATCATACCCAACCCTATAGTTCATCTGGTGCAAATTCCCGAAAATCGCGATTTCGCCCCTCGCCGGCACCAGCGTGAGGCAGAGCACCCCTTCCTCCACCTCCAAAAACGTGCTCTCCGCCGGCAGCTCCACGGCAGCTCCACCTCGGAAATTCGCCACCATCGGCGGGGCCCGGAACCCCTCCTCCTTCTCGTAACAAAGCCCGAACATCCCCCTCTGGCCCTCCACCCTCCTCCCCTTCACGGCCCCCGCCACCTCATCCTCCAGCCGCCCGTAAATCTCTGGCGGCAAGAACGTTAGCGTCGTCCCAGAGTCGATTATGATGTTCCCCTCCTCCACCTCCGGGCCGGGACTGGCCCGGCCCGTCCCGACGCTCACGCCCTCAAGCGTGAGGTAGTAGAACGTTGGGGGCTCCTTCTTCACGAGCGGGGTCGAGACGACCCCGGGTCCGTCGACCGACGAGCCCGGCCCGAACATGATCGTGCTCGTCGCCTCCGACCCAAGGAGCGTGAGGCAGTACNGCACGTGCCGCCGTCGCTGCACGTCGGCCGGTAGAGAGTCGAGCACGCGCGGGACCCGCACGAGAGGACGCGGTACGTGGAGGAGCCGCGCGGGTCGAAGAGCGGGTCCTGCTGGTCGTAGCAGCCGGAGCATGGCTGGCACTGGGTCCAGGTGAGGTCGCTCCCCGTGTCGGCGATGGCAAGGATCTCGATTGGCGGGGTCCCGATCCCTATTTTCATCAGGTATTCGCCGCCGTTGGATGTGATGGGGGCCGAGAGGCCAGCCATGGCCTTTCCGGAAGGGAAGGCCGCGGTCGTCTTGCGGAGGTTGAGGGAAGACTGGCGGGTAGTTGACCGGTCAAAGGCAGAGCTCAGCAGGTCGAAACGGGTCTTGGTGGGGTCGTACGAGGGGGAGTGTGGGGAGTCGCGGTGGATGAGGTCGACAGTTATGGTTCTTCGGCTGATGCTGCCGATTATTCTCTTGGCTTCGCAAGAAGCCAAGAGAATGGTAAAGAGGAGTGTGTAGTAGTGAAAATTCATGGTTTTGTCTTTTGTGTGTGGTTAAAAGACTTTTTGTGGGTATGGAATTTGGGAGGGGTTTTGGGGTGCAATTTTATAGAGATGGGATGAAGAAATGGAAAGTCAAATGGTGTCAATAGGGTTCATGCATATGCGGTTGATTGCAATGAACTTAAATGGGAAAAGGGAGTTAAGAGTTGGAATTTTGAAGTGGGATTTGGTTCATAAATTTTCAAATGATTTATTTCATTAAAGTGTGATGTATGGAATTGTGAATTTGGATCTGTAATAAAGGTTTGATTATTAGTGGAAATTCGGTTTTTTATATTTGGTTAATTTTGTTTGCTTGTAATGGAATTAAATAATTATGGAATTCATAAATGGGTTGTAGATTCATGATTTCATAGTTACTAGTACAGAGCCCATGCGATGCACGGGGTGCACAATTTTAAGGCTATTTATCAAGTCTTATAATTATATACATGAATAAAGAAAAATGTACGGAATATATATAGTACGTGCGAAGCACTATTTATTTGGAGAATATTATATTATAGTATTCAATAAAAGTTTATAATACGCAAAAAAATTGTACAATGTTCAATAAAAGTTTTATAATATTCAAGTGGAGTCTTAAAGTCTCTTATACATTAAGACTACTGACAAAATAATATTTTAGTCAATGAGTTTCCTTTCCTTGTAGCCAAATTGTGAATGTGATTTGATGAGTACAACAAATCGATATATAGCTGACTTGCTTTTTTAATTGTAGTTTTTTTTTATTTTTCTTTTTATAATGAATTTAAAGATATTCTAAAATATAGCAAAAATTAATTTTTTTATTACAATTAGGAATTTTACTAAATATAAACTCTCAATCTATGGTGTTAATTAACGTTTAAGTCTAAAAAATTAGGAATTTTTACAGTTTTTAATCAACGTTTATTTAAAAAACAATAGAGTTATTATAAGTTTTTTTTCTAAATCTTTTAAAACATTAGATATGAGCATGTTAGGGCTAGCTTGTAAAATAATTAATATATTATCTCACTAAAACATTTATACTAATAAAAATTTAATTTTAGCATATAAATTTATCCCTTGATATAAGAGAAAGTAACAGTTTTACTTATTGTTGTTCACCATATAATATTTAATTATTATTTTACTATATAATAAAAAAAGAATATTGTTAAATAGTTTAGTAGAATTGTTATAAAATTATATGAATTTTTTTTAACACAATATGGATTTAATATTTTTTTATGATTTGATAATATAAACAAATCTATACTTAACTTTGACAAATAAAACAAATAAATATTTTAGTAAGTATTTAATATATATACTAAATAGGAATATATTTGGTATAATCAAATACCAAATATAATCAAATAAGTCAAAGCGTACATTTTTATTTGGTATTTGATTTTTATATTATTAATTTTTTTTATTATACTTACCTTTTTAAAATAAAACAAATAAACAAATTAATTAAATAAATAAAATATTATAATGCTAAAATAGTAATGACATTTAATGCAGTTGACTTTTCTGGATAGTAAATGTAGTAAATAGAATATCCTTTTATATAATATAATACGGAAATAGTAATGCAATAAATGCTGTTGACTTTTCTGGCTACTTAATTTGGTAAATAGTACCCCCTTTAATATAAGTATAGATTCTAAAAAATATTCGATCAATTGGTTAACAATGTTGTTTAAATATTAGAATTTACATGATTTTCTCAATGCAAGATATAAAAATTGTAGTGATGTTTGCCAAAGAAAATAAGAAAAATAAACAATGAAACTAAGAAGGCATCAACACAAAAAATAACCAAGACATTTTACCAAAAATTGATTCACATTAGTTTTTGGTTCTTCATTCCTGAAATGTGATATAAGATTTTTTATTATTATTTTTTTTAATATCGCGTCTTAAAAAGTGAAACGAAAAATTGAAAAAGTTAAAATTAGAAATTATGTGTTCAAATCTTTGAGCTTTGAATAAAAGTTTTTTCTTGAAAAAAATACCTCATCCAGAAATATTGAAATAAAAGTGGAACACTTGTTTTAGAAAAAGTAATAAATTTAAAAATGGATAAATATATAGCTAGATTTTCATATCATATAAATAGAATATAATATCATTTGATAAAATTTGTAGTTAGAAATACATGTGAATGGATGAATATGAACTTTTAAAATAAATAATAATAATAATAATAATAATAATAACAATAATAATAATAAATTATTGAATTATTTAATATGAATTTAAATGAAAATGAATTGAAATAAATAGTATTTTTTATTTNCCACTAGTGTTTAGAACAATCATTGGATATCTAATTTGGGCCAATTAAGTGGCTCACCAATTGTGCTCATCACAAAAGCCCAATCAACCACCCTTACAGTCACTTTTAACTCAAGGCTCACATATCTGCTTCACATACATTGGAAAACCAAATAATCATCACACAATAATTCAGCAAAAAATTAGCAAAAGACAATATATATATACACATGAACATGTAACAGTTGTCATCATGCAAAGTATTAATTAATAAGGTGAAAATCTAACTGAAAGTTAAAAGCAAACATATATTATATATATGGTGACCATATCCCCAATTAAATATGTGAAAACATATTAATGATCAACACAAAATAAAATTATCACTGCTTAATTCTAATCCATAAATTTAATCAGTGTTTTTCTTTTGTTAGCATGGATCAGTTTTCATCTTCTCCAAAGCCAAGATGGTACAATCCTTCCAATAAAAAAGAATGTGATCATCAAAGTGGTTCGAAATCGAAATTTTGACGTGATTACGAAAAAAATGCGTACTATGGAGATTACGGGATGGAAGAAAATATCTATGGTGAAAACGGGTTTTTTCCAGTGAGAGAACAAAAGAAGATGATGAAGAAAGCCATGAAAGAACAAGAAGATAGAGCAATGAATAATATGGCCAAGAAAAAAGGTTTAACTATGATCTGCTTTTCCATGAATGGAGGGCCTGCAGGAAAGTGATGAAGAATGGAGATGCATTTTGTGAATTTTTTGGTGTTCTTGGGGTGAAAACGTGAAAATGTTTTTATTATTATTTTTTTTTTTTTTTTTTTNATATATGAGGTGTTTGATGATACTTTTTAGCTAAAATGTAATAGATTTTATTAAACATCTCATTTTTTTATATATATTTTTTATAAACGCAAAATTTTATTAGCGTATTGAGTTTTTTATTTCAAAATTCGTGCGAATTTGTATGTTTCACTATCATATATGTTACATATATGATACTTTCATGTCTATGACTTTTATGATTGTAATAATATACTTGGTTAATGAAATTATAAATATAGTTTAAAATATAATAATTATGTTATTTTATATCATTTTTCATATATAGTGAATCAAATTAATCCTTTTTTATGATCTTCAATTCGATATTTATAACATATTGAATTTAAATAAAACAATACAAGTTTTAAAAAGTATTTACAAAATTAAAATAATATATTTTTGTTTCTTAACTTTTTTATATAAAAAATATATTTATCATCCATGTAAACAAAAAATAATACAGTTTAAAAAGTGCTGATAAAAATTAACAACAAATCGATCACTCATTTACATTGAAAATAGGTGCAATTTTAAACTAAAACAGCCTCGTTGTAAAAATAAGCGCACATTACTCAACATAATACTCGGCCCAATAGAGCAATAATTTACAAGGATTTCTGGCCCAGACCACCAATACCCACGTATAAACGGGTCTGGGCCTACGGGAAAGATAAACCCGACCCGTTAGCCCGCCAAACGATTTTCCCTCTTCTACTCGTGGCCATTTGTGCCTCTCTCAACCACAAACTCCTCCGCCGCCGCCGCACTAAACATCCATTTCCCTAAAACCCTCCGCCGCCATTCTCCTTTTGCATCTCTCAACCTACTTTAGAAAGCAACATCGTCCAGATTTTACATGGACTTGAGAAGATTGACGGCCCAAAAAGCCGCCACCGTCGCAGTACTCTTTCCTCCGATCGATCGTCCCCCCCTAATACTCTCCCCCACACCCTAAAGAAACCCAGAATTCCGATGCCGGAACCGCAGTAGGCGGGCCCCGGCCCATCAGGCGGCATTTGATCGGAGCTTCCACTGAAAGAAGAAAGACATGTCTTCAGTTCTTTCCTGCTCAAATTTGCTCAGCAGTTTGAGCCCACATCACTTTGATTTCCTCTTCTGGGAAGTCCATGAGTACGTTGATCCTATGACCTCATTGAACTTTTTTTTACCTGGCCTGCAATTGTTACGGATATAGATTCACTCTTAATGTTTTATTCCACTTGCTAATTTGTAAGAATCTTGATTCAGAGTGTCAAAATAGGGGGCCTTGTCCCTAGTGTCTATTCTTATAGAGTTATGATAGATGGGTTTTGTAATTCGGATAAGATCGAATAGGATAAGAGATTGAGTTGCTGACCCAGAATATCAGCCTGAATCCAGTTGTGTATAATATGCTCATCACAGAGCATACGCTAGGACTAGAAAAATGAGAAGAAGCTCTTGAATATTTAGATGACATGAAAACTGGAGGGTTTCCTTGTACTCTCAGCAACATATTCTTCTTTAATACATGGAAATGAGTAGTGTTGGCCAAGTAGAAGATTCGATTTGAGAACTTAGGTTTTTGTTCCGGAAGAAAATGTCAACATTGAATATCGAGCCTAGCAATATAACTTGTGGGATTCAATGTCTGATAGAGGGGTGCATTTAGATGAAGTAGAACATTCTTCATTGGTAAATTGCATGTCTAAACAGAAATGGATTTGAAATGGCTGATCCTGTTATGGTTTGGTGTTTTACTCTATATATAATGGTGATTCAAGAAAATTTGCTGTGGATGTATAATTACAGTTTATCTTTGAAGGGAAATACGTACACGTTCATACTTTTACCATGTTTTAGTGGTCTTGTGTTTGTTTCCTATTCTTAACAAGATTTTGCCAAAATTATCGGCTGATCACTTGTTGGTGTTTTTTTTAACCTTTTTTTGTTGTCAGTTCATGTAATAATTTGTTCGTAAGTTTGAGGCAACAACTTTCTTCAGATATAGGCACATACAGGATACGGCTGTCCTTAAATGGCTTGAACGAACTATAATTGTAGAAATTCCTTTTCATTGTTCCTTTCATGAATGTTATCTTTATATGTTGTATTTATGTATTGTCTTCCTTTCACATGTACAGAAAATTTCAAACGAAAGCAACACGCTTCGCTTTGTTCTGAGATGACGATTCAAAGGAACTGATCCGAGCATATCAAGATTCGGTTAGTACTCAAAATATCTCCCAATTACAATCACACATGCGTCTTTATTCAACACTAAAAAATATTCATTTTTATTTTTGTTCATAACTTGTACATTATAACATGTGAAGGGGGCCTATGCAAAAGCAAAATTGCTTCACCACTTGATTATTATTAGTTACAGTTGAATATGATTAATCCTCATCGGCTGAAATATGTGGTCAGGATCTGATTCAAGGGCCTCGACCATCTCAGGCCACAAGATCGCCGAGATTATCCAAGACCCGTCTTTTTTCTCGCTCTGCCTTTGGTTCATATACCCAACTCCAAGCCTTTCTATGGTTGAGCCCACCGTACCCAGCACTGGGCCTCCAAACCCAAAGTCCAGCTCAGCCACCGGAAAGCTTCGGCCCGATGATATCACGAGGGTGGGCCCGCCACCGAGCCCGATAACGCTCTTTGAAAGCATCAACCCAGGTCTGTGAATCTCAACCCAATCGATTAAGTTGCTAAAATGGGCCTCGTTTGTTACTTTAGATATTGCTCTGTGAACCGAATCTGCTATTTTCGACGTCGAAACTGTCATAGGTGGCGTTTTCGCTTGCCATTTTGATTGATGATACAAAAATGAAAGAGGGAGAGAGTTTCGGGATGATTTTTTTTTTTTTTTTTTTGGNTTTTTTTTTTTTTTTTTTTGGGTTATTTGCTAGAAATGATCATAACTGGTTATTGCTTTGTTATATAGTTTGCAGAAAGATGATGCTCATACTACAGAATACTAAATGATTGTCCTTTTATGCCTTTCTCATAAAATGATGGTGAAATCGACACCACTTTTTTTCCCATGTAAATCATAAGATGCTGTATTATTTTTTGCTCTTTCATTATATGTATAGTAAGCTAGACATAACCGAGCTCGAGCTCGAACATTAACGAATTGAGCTATAGAAAATTTTTGAGCCTCAACTCGTTCACTAAAAGATCTTTAAACGAGCTCGAGCATTATTGAGCCGAGTTATGCTCGTTTTGGTCAACGGCCCTAAATTTATGTGTGTTATTTGACAAGACTCTTAAGAAAAGGCATGCTCACGCTTGTAAGTTGTAACTGTACTACTGAGGAATTTTCTTTTATTCTGTGTGCGTTTCCTTTTTTCTGTTCTGTGGTTGCAAAATTATAAATGATGCAAAAAGATTCGTGTTGAGTTTTGAGTCAAATATTCTCATAATGACTTCGTATATTTTGGTTAATGTCAAAGTTGAATTTGGGCCAATGGTGGTTGCTAGTTGCCACTATAAAATGTCGGCCAATTACATTTCCGGTGAGAAAACGGGGCGGCGCCACTGCAACTACCGCCCCGGTGCCGGTTGTCGTTTTCTTCACCTTTCGTTGTAATGATGAGCAAAATCTCCAGATGTTTTGAGTGTTGCTATGAAATTCAATGCCATGATATTTATTATATTCTATAAACTTGTACTATATCCTATTTTTTTCAAATGTAATTTTAGCTTTATTAATAATTAACTAAATAAATGATGTTTTAAATCTTTTATACATATTTTTTCATTATTACCCTCATCTAGCTAATAAATACACTGCGTCTTTCATATTTACTCTTCATCTTTTCTCAAAACATCTATCTCTATTCTCATTAATGAGGGTTATTATTGACAAAAAAAAATCTTAATTACTGTGCAATTTCTCAAAACGACACTTATTAAAAATAGGAGGGAGTATTTGATAATTTCAACTCTTGATTTAAAATTTCTCTTTCTAAAAATATGAATTTTCAATTAAAATATATCGATTTAAGGCATTGTTTGTCGGTGATTAGTGTTTTGGGACCAAATCACAGATTTGACGGTGAATTAGAAGATTTCACCTGTCAGAATCTCTAATTTTACTTTTACTATTCGATAAATAAGTAGCTCTTTGAAATGGTATTTTAGATTAAAAAATCTAATTATGGAAAGTTCAAATTTATAAATATCTTGTAATAGGTGTGTTGATAGCAAAAATCGGATCAAACACAAGTATATCCTTCGAATTTTGTATTAAAATGAAGAATAAAATGATAATAGATGAATGTTCTTTTTCTTTGATTTATTGGGAGAATTTTTCTCTTATTTTTTCGATCACTTATGTTCCTCCTCTTTTACAATAATTGAGGCCATGTATATATAGGCCTAACATATGGACAACAAATAATGATGCAATTATGACACTTGACGGCTTCTATAGACATTTGTCTTGTTGATAATTAATGCGTCATCTGAAGACGACTTCTTTATGGTATTTGGATTAGTCGACTTATAAGACTCTGTGCGTCTCTATAGTAGACGAGCTCGGTATTCAAGAACCCGTTCATCATCTGTGGCCGAGGCCACCACAGAAATAATCCAGGTCGGTATCTGAAGATCAATTTGGCGTGTCGTTTTTATGTTTATTTATTGAGTATTTTAGCCTCCTGTTTACTTTGCCACATGTCACATTTTTATTAACCGTGCTAAATTGGGTATCAACAAGGTGATTGCAATTTTAGTTATCTATACTTATATAAAAAGTCATCCCATTTACTAGAATTAGTAGGAAGAAAAGTTAACTCATAGTTAATTGCATACATATTTAGAAAGTTTTAGATATTTTAAATCATAAAATAGGGTAGGTCCCTAAAATTATGGGTTTTGTTGAATTCATTTTTGAAAATTTTGACAGATATTGAAGTGAATATGAAATTCAAAATCTCTTCTCATTTTATTTTTAATAAAATCTGCATCTCAATTTACATGTGGTTTTGAAGTGAAAATTTAAAATTCAAAATCTCTTCTCATTTTAGTTACAAAATAATCGGGTTGCATTCAATACTTGGACCAATTTAAAATTATTCCTTAAATGAAGGAATTTATAAATAATTATTATCTCTACTCAATCACATGATTATTTTCAATATAAAAAGTGACAAATTACAAATTAGTGAATCATATATTACCTAATTCAATATCTTAACTAAATCCATAGTATTATGTAAATCCGTATCTCATATTATTATATCATTAAGAATATATTATAATTATATTATCAAATCATAAAAAGATATTAAATCCATATTGTAAAAAAAATAATTCATATAATTTTAAAACAATTCCACTACACTATTTAACAATATTCATTTTTATTATATAATAAAATAATAATTAAATATTATATAGTGAACAACAATAAGTAAAACTGTTACTTTCTCTTATATTAAGGGATAAATTTATATGCTAAAATTAAATTTTTATTAGTATAAATGTTTTAGTGAGATAATATATTAATTATTTTACAAGTTAGCTCTAACATGCTCATATTTAATGTTATGGCTAAAAAAACAACGCTGGTTGAAAGATGTGGAAAAAAATTTATAATAACGCTATTGTTTTTTAGACTTAACGTTGATTAAAAGAGGTAGAAAATACATAATAATCCTGTTATTTTTTAGATTTAAACGGACAAGGATGTGAAAATAACTCATTTAATATCTCTGTTTCGTGCATCATAACTCATTTAATATCTCTGTCTCATGCATCGCACGGGGTACGTACTAGTTTTTATATACCAAAGAACCAATTATTCATTAAATACTTATGCACCAACAGATTTTGTTGGATCATTTCCAACTAAATTTACAACACTACAATTTTAATTAAACTAGAGTTATGTTGGAATATATTTTTATTATTAAATTATTTCTTTGTAGTAGTTTAAATAAAAGGAATGAGTTTGCGAGCGTGACTTATCGATCGAATTATATTATTGTTGTAATTTAGTTATTTTCGTATAGTGATTTATAGTGGTTTAAATAAAAAGAATGACTATAGTATGTGAGCTCGTTATTTTAGTTGTTGCTAAAATTCTGTTTGAAAAATAGTTATGTTGTAATTTAATTATTTTTTTGTAGTGGTTTAAATAAATCGAATGAGTATATGAGAGCATGTTTGTTTATGAAAATTTTTGGTTTTGTTTAGATTTTTTGATTTGGTTTGATTAATTTTAAAAAAAGTGGTATGGTTAGTTGTTAGTGGGTATATTAAAATAATATTGAAAATAAAATAATTAAAATTGATTTGATGTAAAAATAAGAGAGAGATGATTGAAGTGATAGTTAGTTAAAATAATGTGAGTGGATGAATAGTAAATTAAGGTTAATGTGGTGTGTATGAATGATTGATGATATTATTTAATTATATTAGTAATTAATAGATTTGATGTTAACAATTGTTTTTCTCAATAAATTGCAAATCCTATTTTAATTATGTATAAAATAATTTACGAAAATTTAACAGCATTACACGTGTGCAGACAATATGGGCGCGTGGCGCATTCTTGCAGTGCCACCAATATCCTACCGACCTTCTCCACCACTTTATAACCACCATCGAGAAATCACACAATTTGAATAAAAATGTTTGAATTAATAGATTTGATGTTAACAATTGTTTTTCTCAATAAATTGAAAATCCTATTTTTAATTATGTATAAAATAATTTACGAAAATTTAGCAGCATTACACGTGTGCAGACAATATTGGCGCGTGGCGCATTCTTGCAGTGCCACCAATATCCGACCGACCTTCTCCACCACTTTATAACCACCATCGAGAAATCATACAATTTGCACAAAAAGAATCTATTTTAGTATCAAAATTTGAAATCAAAAGCCAGAGGGAATTTCAAAGGAAAAAAATGCATTCGACAAAGCAGAAAGTGAGCGATGCCGCCGCCGTAGCCAAAGAGCACGTTGACATCCTTAAAGCCAAAGCTCAAGAGAAGGTATATTATTATCATCATTAGCCTCTTTCATAATTCTAAAAAAAAATGAAAAAATCCAAGTACTTGATTATGTTGCTAACTTGCAATCTTAATTTTGAAAGATATTCGGGCTAACAACTAGAGTTGTAAATTCGAATCAAAGTATTACCAAGCATTCAGTTTATTTAAACCACTACAAGAAAATAATTAAATTACAATATGGGACAGTCCACATGGAGCTGTCTCATTGGTTGTAACGGACTCATTGGTTGTAACGGAGCCAACAATTGGTTTCAACAATTGGTTTCATATCAGCCTCTATACATGGCGTCTCTTGCTTTACAAGACTTGGTTAAATACCACAACTACTTAATTTGCCTTCATCTAAAAAATTAAATTAATTTTGATCTAACTAATAATGTTCTCTCGGCCAAAAAATAAAAATATAAAATTTTGTATTTGTGTAGGCCGAGAAAGGGATGGCTAGGAGCAAGGAAGAGAAAGAGGTGGCGCACGAGGTTCGGAAGGCTAAGGAAGCCGAAGCCAAGATGAAAATGCACGAAACTAAAGCTCAAAATGCCCAGGACAAGTTGTACGGTGAGCATCATGGCTTGTACGGCAAGCATCACCACCAGCCGGTGGGGTCCGCCTTTCCGGCGACCGGTGGGGTTGCTCCGGCGTATCCACCCACGGATCCAACTTTGAAGTAAAAATAAAATATATATATATATATAAATATATATATATATATATGTGCTTACGTTTCTATTTTTAATTTTACTAGTATTTGGGGTCTGTATTTGTATTAAGCTAGTAATTAGTTTCGTATGAATAAATGGAGATTGAATTTAATTAATTTTCGGATTGAATATAATATCTGAGTATCGCCTTGAACCATTTCTTATTTTCTAAGGCAATTGACTTCGAATCGAAGAGCTTAGCAATACTGAACTGATCTAGCTAGCGGAGCAGTTCGAATTTAATATCCTCTATTAAGTCTATTTTAAATAAAAATTTTGAGATGAGGACAAATAAAACTCCTGATTTTTGAGTGATTGTGTTCCCTCAGCTCATAGAAAACTCGATTACATCCTATTGTCTTTCACAGCTCACAACTCGGAGAAAAATTGTGTTCCACATCTCATAAAAATCGGGCTACATTGGATTGTTAGGAAAATTGGGTTTACAATTGAATTGGGCTAATTATTTTGGGCTTCTAAAAGAATTTAATTGGGCAAATTATTTTGGGCATATTCCTATTTGGGCTCGGCCCGTTGAATCGATAATAATCATTTATAAGCTGTTGATCTTCTAGCTCACCATCGGATTTATTGGGCCGGCTGGTCTACGAAAAAGGATATAGTAATTTAAAAAATTTTATTTACATTTTTTAACCAATTAAAACTATATTATATTTTTTCACATTCAATATTTGAGCAACAGTATAATAAGTCACCTTTTTATTGGTCAGTATAGAAATTGAATGAAGAAAAGACCTAACGAGCAATTGAGCATGCATTGACCATCTAGGTAATTAAGTAGAATAAATTACACATATTCATGCAAAAATTTCATTTACAGGCTAGCTAGGTAGAGTGAATTCCATATAGCAATGTTGATTACTCGAGATATTCTCATGTTTGTCCAAAAGAATCCAATTTTATCATTGNTTCTTTTTTCGTATGTGTGACATAAATAAAGACAAAAATGTACTGATAATGTTGACTTTATTTTTTTGATGTTAATACTCTCTTTATATACATTTCAAGAATAATGTAATTAACATGATATTAAAATATTCTATTTCGTATATTCTTATTGTAGGTTATCCACATTTTTTGTGTTGATGAATAAACAAAAATAGCAAATTTATATATTTATTTATTTATTTCTTAAATTAGTTATATATCCTGAAATTTGCCATCTTTTCTGTTTAGTTAGATGGAGAAAAAATAAATAAATTGCAAAATTAGAAAGCTGTAAGTTGCACAAGATTGTTTCCGTTAAACCATCTTTATAACCAATCCAACTTAATAATTAAATATTATTTCTCTCTCTTACAGCTATACAGCTCAATTTTACACCTAAATTTATTTTTATCTCCAACTTAACTCAACTTAAATATTTATTAATTTATCTAAAAAATGCAATTGTTCTAAAACATACCAAGCGTTGTTTCGATTCGTAGACAATGAAAAATATGATTTTTTTTAAATAAAAAACACTTGTCCAATAAATGCAATTGTTCTAAAACATAAACCTAACCTTTTTTTTTTCTTTTTGGTGACCCAATATTTGGGTCACCATAAAGTCAATCTTACAACTGTCACCGTTCTAATGGTCTTTTTCGAAATCGAATGAGAATAAGAAAGTGAATGAGCACTCGAACACCTGCACTTGGCTTCACGAAATAGATTCCAAAAAATTTTATCCCAACCAAAAAAATAGTGAGATTAAAAAGTGAAAAAAATATAGATAAAAAGTGTGAAAAAATTAATTTTATGACTGAAAACAGAATACATAATTAGATGTGAATTAATGGCGCGTTTTATTGGAAATAAATAAATATATTAATAAAAAATGAGAAAAGGAATAGTAATTTTTGCGATTTATATTTCAATTATATATAAATCTTATACGAAAAATGTTTTATTTTAATCAAAATCAAATATCTTGGTTGCCAAAATATTCCTCACATAAATTATTATCAAAGATATAATGTTTATGAATCGGCATGGGCCCATGGCTGTATTTAGGCATACATAACCATTCAGAAAACCTTAATTTTTGAATAGAAACATGTAAAATATCATAATTTAAAGATAATGCATTATTTATGACACTGTATAATATGAGTGTTTATTTTTATTAACAAAACTTTCTCACTAGAGCTTCACTGTAGACATGCATAGTTATTCAATAGTTCTATTAATCGGCCATTATTAGAAACATAATCTTTAATAGGTATGTGATGTAGGGAAGCGTACGAATAGAAAAGAATAAACAAGATACTCTCTCGATAAAATTCACAAAACTCACGAATATCTTATTTCATTTCAATAATCAACTGATGAAAATAAACTAAAGAGAGTCCTTTATATAAGGCTCCTAACTCTGGACCTTAACTTGTCCAACAAGACAAGAACTCTTATTAAATATTAAATAATAATATTAAATTACTAACTTACTCTCTGAGACACCTATTAAATAATAATAATAATAATAACAATAGATACTAATCTACACCATTCTCCTCCGGTTCGGAAGGCTTCGCCCTCGAAGCCGATGCGCTCTGTGGCCGGCGTGTGGTGTCGAACTCACGGTAGGAAACCCCGTCGTTTTCCCCGGTCGAACACGAAGGATGAATGTCGTCCAACAATCTCGATGGTAAACATAATCATGGGCAAGGATTGAATTGCTGCAAAGGCACATGTACACGCCTCCATATGCATAACCCACATAGTGGAATTGACACCAAACATACTACATCGTTCACTGCACTCAAATCCATAGCTACGGCCAAGCATCTCGTTGTTGAGAGACTTTCGGATAGACAATCGGAAAATGGTCCACCAGTTATTGAGCCTCGGAGTCGGCTCCCAAAAACCATTGTTGGCCAAGATACTCCAAACATCGGGTTTCAATGACAACATCCCCGTCAAAGGCTCAACTTCTGCGACATCCCACACGGGACCCATATTGCCGCAAAAATATGTCTCCGTCACCGGAGGCTCCTCATCGAAAATAGGCGGACCGTCGTACAATAGCCCGTGTGCAACAACGAACTTAGTCTCGACAGGCGGAGGCGGCCACTCTCCAAAGGGATCCACCTCCGAGATGGTCTCCTCGCCGTCTGCATCGCCGGGCGGCGGTTGTGGAGATCGCCGACGGGGCCCCCGCCTGGAACACGACCTCCACTTCCTCCGTAAACTCCCCCGCGCACACTCTGGTCGCTGGCAGCACGGTTCATCTGCAAATCCCAGATCACGTTGTTAAGCGTCAAACACAAATCCTCGATCCCCATCGAAAGATCTGCAAACCAATCCGTGAAACGCACGTCCAACTGTTCAAATTGGTAGTCGATCTGTTGAAATCGATCGTTGAAGGTTGCATCACATCGTTTGTTTGCGGCATCTTGTCGTCCCGGCGACATCGCGAATCATACTGACTGCTGATACCAACTGATGTAGGGAAGCGTACAAACGAGATACTCTCTCGATAAAATTCACAATCTCTTATTTCATTCAAATATCAACTGATGAAAATAAATTAAAGGGAGTCCTTTATATAAGGCTCCTAACCCTGGACCTTAACTTGTCCAACAAGACAAGAACTCTTACTAAATATTAAAGAATAATATTAAATTACTAACTTACTTTCTAAGACACCTATTAAATAATAATAATAATAGATACTAATCTACACCAGTATGCACAACGTATCATATTTTAAAAAGAATCAGCGTAAACAGAAATTAACATAGACAAAAGTATAATATTAAATATTATAAATATGTATTTTTTGTTTACAAGATATGATGTGTAATTAAATTTATCTAACGATTAAACTGATCATATAATAGTATTTATGTTAGTCGATCATATGGTTTAATTCATGTTTTATTTTATTTGATTATTGATACGTGTATAGTTGTAACGTTACTATCAACACGCATATCATTTATCTTAGCATATCATTTATCTTATAGAATAGAATGAAACTTAAATTGGTACATGATTTTGGTATATGCCTGTATAAGTTCAAGAGTCTATATATGTGTGTAAGTTGAACACCACAAAGCACACCAATTTGTATTCTCTCTTCCCAATATTAATACTAAAGACAGCACTTATAAGAAGCTATAAATAACCCTCTTTCGTTTTTCTAATTTTCTTTCTTTCCTTCTTAACTGTCATTATTTTTGTTTTTATTTTCAAACACATATATATTTGAACTTTAATCAATTCCCTTTTTCTTTTTTTTTCAGATGTGTGCTACATTTCGTTCATTTTAATTTTATTGACTATTTTTATTCTGTTCACAGAAAAATGACTGGAGAACTACAGAAATGGCTGTGCATTTTGGTTTGTGTGCTGATATTATTGAAAAACACTGAAAGCTACTCTGTTAACATTACATATGTTGAAAGTGCTGTGGATAAAGGAGGAGGTAATAAATATATATATATATATATATATATGTATGTATATAATTAATGAAGCTAGCTTCTGTAAATATTTACTATTTAATTTTTTACCAGTGAATGATTATTTTTTCATTTTTGGGTAAATTTACAGTTTGTTTGGATGGAAGCCCACCTGCATACCATATTGATAAAGGAAGTGGAGAAGGAATTAACAATTGGATAGTTCATATTGAGGTTGGTTCATATCATCCCATGATTTTGAATTTGCTTCACTATTTAGATATAATGATTTGACTTTGATCCGTTAATTCGTTATAGACTAATTGTACTAATATCGAGTCCTAGACAAAGTTTTGATGTATTAATTTTAATAGTCGGAAAAGTAACAAGTGTCAAGATCTCTCGATCTTTCAGTCACATATAATACTCAGCTGGTGGACACATTAACTAGTCAGACCGCATTTCTTGTTATATACAAAAATCTAGAAATGTATCATGTATGTAATATCATCATCCTTTAATGAAAATGAAGTTCAAAAGAATTCATGTGAGCTAGTTTNAATGTAACTGAAAATAAGGGAGGAACATGGTGCAATAACGTAACGACTTGTCTCGCTCGGAAAAAAACCCGACTAGGCTCCTCCAATCTAATGGAGAAACAGGTCGTTTTTTCCGGGATCTTAAGCAACAAGAAGAAGTTTAACCCTGGTATATATATACTTCACTCTCCATTTTTCCTTGCATGATCATATATATATACATATATATAACTTATGCAACTCTATGAAAAAACTGTTGTTCAATTCGATTTCGACTTATTGCAGATTTTTACAACTGGAATCGAGTCAAGGTTCGATATTGCGATGGCTCGTCGTTCACCGGCGACATAGAAGACGTTGACCCTGTAAGTCTTGTTTGGCTTATACTATACAATTAGTCCATTATCATGTTCTTGCGATTACTTTAATAAATTTTATATATCCAATCGCTCGTGAAACTTTTGATCAATCGTCATTTGGTTCGACAAGGAAACGGGACTTTACTACCGTGGGGCGAGGGTCTTTACTGCAATAATGGATGACCTATTAACTGTGCAAGGAATGTCGAAAGCTCAAAATGTACGATAAAACATATATTTGAATTTTTTCTAATTTTTACTATAATGCTTTGAAACAAAAACTATCTTCACTACTTGCTTTCTTATATATATTTTATAGGCAGTTCTATCCGGATGCTCGTCTGGCGGGTTAACATCGATTCTTCATTGTGATAACTTCTCGGCTCTTTTTCCTCCCAACACGAAAGTCAAATGCTTTGCGGATGCCGGTTTCTTTCTTGACGCGTAACTTTTCGTGCACAGCTTAGTCACTTAATTTCAGTAAGTTCCCTTTCATTTTTTTTTTTTTCAGCTCATATGAAATATCTGTAACAGGGACGATATCTCTGGTGCTTCGCCTATTGATGATTACTTCGACGACGTTGTCACGACGCATGTAAAATGTCAACACGGATTAAATTAATTTTCGGTTGTCTAATTTCCTATGTGATTGTAAGTTCTTTTGCTTGATGAACACGACAGGGGTCGAATTTACCACTACCGTGCCCACATATGTTGAATCCGAGCAAGGTTCGGAGCAATTTTCTCGACTAGATTATCTTTATTTTATCCTTGGCAAACTACATATTCATTTTTTATTTTTATTTTTTACATGTAATACAAATTTTTGCAGTGTTTTTTCGCACAATATGTGGTGGAAGACATTGGGACACCACTTTTCATTGTAAATGCTGCTTATGATTCATGGCAGGTCAGAACAGACACACACACACACCTTTGACAAATCAAAATTAGAATTAACTTTTTAACCTTTGTTTTTAGTGTTAATTGGTTATTTTAACTTATTACTAATTAATTTACTATCCTAATTTTGCCAGATTAAGAACATCCTGGCACCTGCAGGTGCTGATCCACTTGGCATATGGAAAAAGTGCAAGGCTGCAATAGAGAAATGTTCGCCGGATCAAATCGAAATATTGCAAAGTTAGTTCCGTTTCGTTTTGTCGAACACTTGTAGTCGAACGAGTGTTTTTTGCACCACATTGTAGAGCTTTCTTGATGCACAATATGAGTATGCTATTTATTTATTTATTTTCAGGCTACAGAGAACAGTTCATAAGCGCGTTAATGGAAAATGTGATTTGGTCAGAGTCGGCAGGATACTTCATCAACTCTTGCTACGCGCACTGCCAAACCGAAACACAAGAAACATGGCTTAGTCAAGGCTCTCCCAAGTTGAACAAAACGGTTATTATATCGAGCTTTCGAACTATAACATTCTCCGATTTTTTTTTATTTTTTTCGTAATTATTGATGCTGAGTAAGTATAGATTTTGCTGTGTGCAGAGGATAGCTAAAGCAGTGGGAGATTGGTATTATGACCGGAGTCCGTTTAAGAGTATCGATTGCTTGTATCCTTGCGACAAAACGTGCTACAATCAGACTTTTGAGCCTTCAGAAATGTAGATTCAATACTGTGCAAAATGAAGAGATGGCTGGGGGTACACAAAATGCAGGAAATATAATAAGTGTTCAAATGTGTACTATAAAGAGTATGAAAAAGAATAATGAAATTAGGTTCAGTAAGTCTCCACATGAATAAATGGATTTTCTATAATGTTGTCTGTTTTGTTTTCCCTGTTTCAGTGTGCATTTCATTTCTGAATGATGAATTTCATGTCTAATTCTCTTTGGGCTTTACTTCCTATTAGCTTTTACATATTCATTACATTTTTTTATTTCATTTTTTTATAAAAATAAATTATTGAAAATAAAACCATAAATAAACGGTTAAAAAATGAATCATGAAATGTAGGAAACTTTATCAAGAAAATGAAAATAAGATGGCTATTTAATATAATACTGAGACATGTGAGAATACAGTGTCCTTGAAACAGATTCTTCCCGTACGAGTTCTTGTTTCCCAAGAAACAACGGCAAAACCAAATAAAATTCGGCGAACTGGAATTATGCCCGGACCAAAGCACTATACAGAAAAATGGGGAAAACCTTTAAGAACTCTTGTATTTTAATTTTTTCTTGTGTGCTTTTCTTAAAAGAAGACATCACCATTTATATAAGCATAAGAGTGGTTCACATTCAATAACTCATGCATTAACCAAGTGAACCTTAAAACTCTTGCAACATGAGAAAAAAAAAAGTTACAAATTAAATTTGCAAGATGTTAAAAAGTTAATGTTATGTTACAAGTTTCATTCACAAATTTTTCAATGATCCCAACATGAATGAAATTGAAAAATAATATTATGTTCCAGCTGTTGTTCATAGGATAGGTAGGTGTTACCCTTTCAATCTTCCCTCATGAAACACATTAACTTTACTAGCTGACCAGTTAGACGCGATGTCTTTGAACTATTCTGCCTTTTTTTTTTTTTTTTTTTTTTTNATAAATACACTTCACACAGGATTCTTCCTAACATATTCCAGTTCTCATTATTATGTACATTAGTGGCCTTGGACATAGCCTGATTCTGTGAGAGGGTCTAAGAATTGAGCTTCACACAATTTGATGTCCATTAGTGGCCCTGAACATAGCTTGATTATGTGAGAGGGTCTAAGAATTAAGCCTTACACAATTTTCTTTGAAACAGCCTCACTTCTCTCTCGTATAAGTGATTCTTAATTAAAAGTAGTCTGATACAAGAATCATTAAAAGCTAACTGCTTATCCTACTCACCACGGGTATCACTATTTAAGGAATGAACAATGGATAATATTCCACAGTAATCACTAGTGTCTTTTTACAATTAGCTTATCCCTTTGAACCAAGATCTTGGGATCTCTAGTCAACAAGGTAGGGTTTTCATTATATCAACTCGTTTCTAGAGGTTTAATTCCCATTTCCTTCAGAGATTTAACAACCAACTCTCTATTTAACCCTTTTGTTCGAGCTACCTCCAGGTCGATCCTTACCGGTGGTTCGAGCTATCATATTTCTATCCAACTGTGTGGTTCTTCTGGTTCGGTTGACCCGAGTATGGTATCCTATATCAAATTTAATTAATTTTCGGATTGGATATAGTATTGTATCAACATGTTGTTGATTGGACTACAATCTAATGTATAGCCCGATAAGGTAGAGAAAAAATTGTAAGTAGCTCGATAAGATCAATGTTCTGTATAAAGTCGAACGTAACTCGATAAGGTCAAAGTTTCGACTCTTATCGATGCTCTTAGGTCAATGCTCGATTCTATCAATGCTTTTGCAAAAAAATAAAACAATAAAAAAAATCGACCCTTATCAATGTTCTTAGGTTAATGCTTGACATTTATCAATGCTTTTACAAAAAGACAAGGTTGAGAAAAAATGGAACGTAGCTCGATAAGATCAATGTTCTTGCAAAAAATCGAATGTAATTTGAAAGGTCGATGTTCGACTCTTATCAATGTTCTTAGGTCAATGCTTGACTTTTATCAACGCTTTNACTCTTATCAATGCCTGTGCAAAAAATCGAATGTAGTATGATAAAGACAATGTTCTGCTCTTGCCAAAAAGTAAATGAGATGCTCAACTCTCTCTTGCAAAAAATCGAACATAGCTCGATAAGCTCAATGCTTGACCCCTCTTGTCGCAATATGGAAATTGAATTGGGCTAATCATTTTGGGCATATTCTTATTTGGCCTCGGCCTTGAACCTTTGATAACACAAATAAGTTGTCGACCTCCTAGTAAGCATGAGCTCAATCTTTCATAAAACCTAGTCCATAGGCCCATTCCAAAAATAACTCCTCACCATTGGATTTATTTGCTCGGCCTGTCTACGGGAAAGGATATAGTAATTTTTTATAGTTAGAAATTTTATTTTCATTTTTAACCAATTAAAGCTATATATTTTTCTAATTCAATATATGAGTGTTGGTATCAATAATTCAGCTTTTTATTGTTAGTCATTATAGAAATTGAATGAGGTAAAGACCTAATGAGCAGTTAAGCATGCATTAACCAACATTTACAGGCTAGCTAGGTAGAGTAAATTCCATGTAGAATTACTCAAGACTAGTTTTTGTCCCGTGCATTTGCACGGAAAACTATATCATACATGAAAAAATAATAAAATTATAACAATAATAAAAATCATAACAAATTCATTGAAAAAAATTAAAAAATATATATAAATATTCTTAAACACTTCTTTATAAAACAACGTCGTTGTTTTTCTATCGTCAAAATCTCCCTCAACTCAAATCAAAATCTTCAAACCCCACTGTCTCGTAAATCTAAAAAGCGCTACGTATAATTGCTCATGACTAAATGCAGAGCTTTTCAGTAGTAAGCCGACGTGCGACAGAGACTGTCTTTGACTCTTATTGATCATGGGCAAAAATTTAAAATTGGTCCTACAATTTAGCCACTGTCCAAAAAACCACCCCGATATTGACCACTTTCAATTTAGGTCATATAATTTGTCAATTTCATCAATTTTGGTCCTTTTTTATTCGCACCCTGGATTAAAAAGTGACGTGGCATGAAAAAAGGACCAAAATTGATGAAATCGACAAATTATAGGACCAAAATTGACGTGCCACGTAGATCATAACCACGCCATGTAAAATTAAAAAACTGACACGTCATGCCACGTCACTTTTTAATCCAACGTGCTGATGAAAAGGACCAAAATTGATGAAATCGACAAATTATAGGACCTAAATTGAAATTGGTCAATATCGGGGTGGTTTTTTGGACAGTGGCTAAATTGTAGGACCAATTTTGAAATTTTGCCTTGATCATGTCATAGCATAGGAAACACTTCTTTATATTATTTGTCCTTGACTCTTATTGATTGATAGAGATTGTCCTTGCTTCTTAATAAAAAAAACATCATCTAAATATAAATGAGTAAATATAATATTAATTTTTTATATAAACAAAAAATTTAAAGTAATTGATAATGAGTATAGAATTACCCTTGCGGATTCAAGTTATTTCAACGATGTTCTTTTTATATATCTAAGATTTAATTTTTTTTCTGATTTATATGAATATAAGCACATTTGACTAATTTTTATAAAATTTATTGAAAAAAGTTACTATTTTTTTGAAAAACTGATAAGATATTAAGATAATACTGTACTTAACATAACTGTGGGATTAATTAAAATAAATATTTTTAATTTAGTCATTAACTAATTAAATTTAACTATATAAAACCTTCTTAAATGTGAGATTAATGAGTAATTAATTAAAAAAAAATGTAACTTCTTTTGGAGGGAAAGTGAAAATATTTTTATTAAATGTTTTATTAAATGGGATTAGCTAGCAATTATATATATATAGATATGTTTGTCTAAAAGAAATCCAATAATATATAATGCATTTTCCATCTTTAATATCCTTCCCGCTATAACTAAACTATGCAAGTTGAATTTTGTTTCTGCTTTTTAACTTTGTGTGACTTAAATAAAGACAAAAATGCACTAATAACATTGACTATTTCGTATTTCTTTATATATTCAAATAATTTATTGAGAAACGTGTATACTCATTGTAGATTATTCAGATTTTTTGTTTTGAATAAACTAAAATAACAGATTTTCTTATATTTATTTTATTTATTTCTTAAATTAACTATGATATCCGTGCGATGCACAGGATACATTGTATATTAGTGTATTATTATTAAAAAAAATATAAATTATTTGAGATAATATTCTAACTCTATTCGACATAATCTATCAAGTCAGTAATAATATAAAGTTTATTTGAATATTTTACTTTTTGATTTATTTTTGTAGGTCATGACTATTTAACATATAAATTTCACTATTTATAGTTAATAAACTACTATAAATATTTAAGATTTTAGTTATGATATTTGTATACAAACTATTTACATGTACTTATAAAACTACCTATTATCTTGGTCCTATTACTTTTTTTAATGATTCATATTTTGCATATTTCTCGACAACTAACTTTTTTTATTGCTTGTGCAACAAATTATTTTCATAATAAACTATTTTATTTTTATATATATTTAAATTTGTTCTATATTTATTTCTTTAATTCATTTTTTCAACATATACAATGAAAGCTAGCTACACACTTTAACACGAAAAACTTTTGGCAAATTGTTGGCTATCTCTTCTCCTAGTTTTTAAGGTATTTTTTTTCTGGTTTCTTATTCTCTTAGTTTCCAAAGGTTTAGGTTTTCAGCTATTTTAGTTTTTCGACTTGTGTTTCGCCACCTTTTGAATTATTTTTAAAACAAAGATTCAATTTTAGGTACTGTTGGAAAAATCAAGATCAACCAAGAGTAAGAGTGTGCCTTGCACCTTAAAATCAATTTTTTCAAAATGGAATCACAAGCACCTTCAAATGCTTTCGCTAAGAAATTTGAAGGCTTTTCGATGTACAATAGTTTTTTAAACATATTCGATAAACATTAAAAGGTTAGAAAAAAGAAGGTAATAATAAGTCACGTTAAGGACTTGTCATGGAAAATGTAGGAACCTAAGGGGTATGGTTAAAGCTGATAAACGCTTACTGTAATGTAATAATATGCAATGAGTGAATTTACTCCTTGATGTAAACTATTGAGAAAATGGTTACCTGAGGCCTGAATTCTTAGAGTTACATATCGCTGCTCAGACTCCTTCGTACCATTTGAGAACAACTAGAAAACCAATGGCATCACCATACGAGAATCAAAGAAAAGTTGGAAAGAAAAAGAGCAAACTAATACTATCGAACACGACAAACCTTAAAGAAAATGGACTCTTTGCTGCCAAAATTGGAGAGCTGATGTGGAGTGTCTTAACTTGAACTGCTGAATGATCCATGCAAGATAATTATTCATTTCCTTTTAGATAATAGAATTTTACTCAATTTTGAAGAATAAATAAGGCAGGATAAGCATCTAATTGAGCTATTCTGATACTTTAGATAATAGACTTTTGACTAAATTTTGAAATTATCGAGGAAGAATATATTTATATAGAGGACAATGTTTAGTAGGTAATAATCAACTCCAAGAAAGAATATATATATATAATGGCACCAGATTCATGCACTGTAGTCTCTGCATCCAAAGGTGACTCTTCAACCATTGCAAAAGCTTCTTCCTCTTGATTCTCATAAGCAACTGCTTCTTCCAAATCCAGCACATTGCAATTCAGATCATGTTCTTCACATTGTTCGATAGGTNAAAAAAAAAAAAACGTAAACATAAACAATGTCAGCAGCCTCATACTTGACAGTGAAGGATATTTTCTAAAGCATGTACCAGTTATAAATCAAAATATCATATGCTTAGACTGTATAGGAGTTGCTTTTTTATTTTGTAAGTACCAGTTATAAATCTGTACTAGCCACTAAATACATGCTAACGAAACAAACTCACTTTTCTGCCAACATTATGGAAATCATTACATGGCTGTATGAAATTATTGACAGGATCAATTTTCCCTTCAGTATGTTCTACCGAGCAAAATTATCTTTCATCCCAATCTCCAAAAATCATATACTGATACAGGTGTATCCACATTTAACAGAGAAAGTAAGGTATCACATTTTCTCCACATATGCAGACAATTATAGTCCAAACTTTTAAAATCGCTTCCTTACCACATATACAGACAATTATAATCCAAACTATTAAAATCACTTCCTTAAGCTAACCTTTGACACAATACACTTCTAAATTCCTAATGCACGTGACATCCCTGATAAAGCCCCAAAAAGAAAACACATTCTGATCACTCCATTTAATCAAGACACAATAGCCTTGTTAGGAAATCAATAACAGAAGAGGCATAAAATGGATTGCATGTGTCCACATTTTTAAATACAATTATAACCTTTGGGGTACACAATTCTCAGTTTCTAATGCACGTAACATCCTCGATAAAACTCTCCGATAATCCCCAATAAAAGCACACTTGGATCACCCCATTTAATCAAGACACAACATCCTCGTTATAAAATCAAGAACTGAAGAGGGCCGAATGGATATCACATGTGCCCTTTACAGTCCAAACCCGAAAAACCTTCCTTTAGCTAACCTTTGAGTGACACAGTACCAAATTTCTAATGCACGTAACATCCCTGATAAAACTCCGAAAAAACCCACGCTCAAAACACCTCCATTTAATCAAGACAACAACATCATCACCAAAACTCACTCTCGAAACCACAATTAATCCCCCATAAACACAAAATGATCATAACAAGAAAATAACAAAACAGCTCATTTCACAAATGCACAGCCAACCAAACCACCTCCGAGCATAACATGAAAATGAATTAATAGTGTGATACCATTTGCAACGGTGAGCTGATCGTCACGCCGACATTTGCGGTTCCTGGCCCAATCGGCGAGGCTGACGTCAGGGTCCGGTTTGGGCACGGAGAATCGGGTATGATCTCAATCCGGAGAATTCTGTCCGAGAAATTGATGTCGTTGAACGCGAAAGCAAAGTCCGGATGGCTCCGGCGACACGGCGTCCGGCAGCGCGAGGGGCTCCATCAAAAACTGGTCTTGGTTCAAATCAAAATCACCTTTTTTCTCCCAAGAACAAATGACTAATATTTCCCCCTATCTTCATTGGGGTTTGAAAAGAGAAGAACAGTATGCTATATATATAGAAAAACGCAATTGCATTTTGTCTACTTTCAATCATAACAATATTATCACACTAATTTGGGAACTCCATTATCAAATTATCATTAAAAAAAATCTAACATTCCATAATCAGCCAATTTATTTGAGATTGGAAGTTTTCATTTTTATTTGTTTAGAAAAAATTATTTCATAAAATGCACAAAGTTTTAGTCCATCAAAATTATTAACATTTTGGTCATATACTAAAAGATTTCATCAAAAAGCGTTTGTAGTCCAACGGTTAGGATAATTGCCTTCCAAGCAATAGACCCGGGTTCGACTCCCGGCAAACGCAATTAAATGTCATTTTTGTTTTTTGTTTTTTGTTTTTTGTTTTTTGTTTTGTTTTTTGTTTTTGTTTTTGTTTTTTTTTGTTTTTTTT